TACGTGGTTATGTTAGGACTCCCCGAAGACTGAATAAAAGAGACTCCCAAAGAAGAAATTTGCGAATTGCTGCAAGTTATTACAGAATAATGCGAAGGCGGTCCAAGACCAGACGAAGCAAAGAAACGTATTATTTTCACCCTTACTGTCCTTGCAAAGCGCCAGAGCTTTAAATGAATATTTTTTGAGATCAGTGCAAACATTGCAAAAGCGTTGCATTGCACAACGCCCACCGCGTCGAAATGCTACACGTTTGATGTCAGTGCCGTATTCACCATGATTTGAACACGCCCATCTGCCGCAGTTTGACAGGAGGTTTCCAATGCCGTTTCCCCACGTGGCTACAGTTTATTCTGCTTTTGAAAGCCTCGGAGAAGGACTCTGAGCCCCCTCACAACTCGCAGGATGAACGTTGAGATTTTATGTTGGGTGGGGATCTATTCTAGAATTTTTACGTTGGAATTGGCAACCCAGCTGTAAGACATCGTCCCACGGTGAGGGAAACTCCGTGCGGCAAACAACACAGTGTTGCATTATGACCAGACAAAAGGAAAAAAAGATTTATATCGCAGTCGCAGCGGTAAATACACCACTCAGTTTTGTGCACAGATGCGGTCCGAGCATTTTGAACGCATAAATTTCTGAGATCACAGCTCACACTGCGCGGTGCTCGTTGTGTGACCTCTGACCCGTACCATGCGGTCATGCAGTTCCTGCTCCACGGCATAGTTTGGTGGTGGAAGTTTAACGTGCGGCAAGGCTTTGCACGGCCCATCCTGCCTAGCAAGTCACCCGACTGCCAGCGACAAGAACAGATAAGATATTCAAGCTATTTTTACAGGCACAAGTACAACGGGAAGAAGCAGGTTGTGCCGAGCTCCACGGTAAGCGTATTCAGAACGTCGTGTTGCCAATTTTTCAACACACGCCGTATCTTGTGCGATTCTAGACCTCGCCAACAATTCCACACTCCAGTTTCCAGTTCCGATGCTGCCCACGAACAGGATGTCGTGGGCTCCGGTGCTCTCTGCGCACAGAGCACTGCACACCAGCAGAGATTACACGAGGAGCCGCATCTTGACCGCCGCTGCCGTTGCTGCCGTCTAACTTTGCCCTCCGCACCGCCGGCTCTTATTATATACCGACAGTTTAACTTCCACAGCTCAGACAGTCTGGGTTTCCTCAGACCGCTTTGTTTACAGTTCGTACCGTGTACGATTCTGACAGTGGTGGGCTTCACTACCGACTAGACAGGCATAAACATATAGCTATGGCAGTTCCTGGGCGGCATATCTTACATTTTGACATATCAGCCAGCATGCTTGGTTAGTCGTGGCTGGAGTAGGTGTGGTGGTGTTAGTCGTGGCTGGTGTGGTATGGTGGTGTTCGTAGGGGCTGGTGTGGTGTGGTGGTGTTAGTCGTGGCTGGTGTGGTGTGCTGGTGTTAGTCGGGGCTGGTGTGGTGTGGTGGTGTTCGTCGGGGCTGGTGTGGTGTGGTGGTGTTAGTCGTGGCTGGTGTGGTGTGCTGGTGTTAGTCGGGGCTGGTGTGGTGTGGTGGTGTTAGTCGCGGCTGGTGTGGTGTGGTGGTGTTAGTCGCGGCTGGTGTGGTGTGGTGGTGTTAGTCGTGGCTGGTGTGGTGTGGTGGTGTTAGTCGTGGCTGGTGTGGTGTGGTGGTGTTAGTCGCGGCTGGTGTGGTGTGGTGGTGTTAGTCGGGGCTGGTGTGGTGTGGTGGTGTTAGTCGTGGCTGGTGTGGTGTGCTGGTGTTAGTGGGGGCTGGTGTGGTGTGGTGGTGTTAGTCGGGGCTGGTGTGGTGTGGTGGTGTTTGTCGTGGCTGGTGTGGCGTGCTGGTGTTAGTCGGGGCTGGTGTGGTGTGGTGGTGTTAGTCGTGGCTGGTGTGGTGTGGAGGTGTTAGCCGCGGCTGGTATGGTGTGGTGGTGTTAGTCATGGTGGTGAGAACCGCGTGGAATCTGGACTGCGTCACGCGCGTGCCGAACCCGAGCATGAGCAGCTATGCTTACAACTGTTGACGCCACGTGGGGAAGTCAGCGATGGCGAGCTCGTGTTGATGATTCACTTGTAAGGTGCCCTACTAAAAACATGACGGTGGGGCATTCTGCGACAGGTGGCTGTGACCTACACTTTCACATCTTGTATTTAGATACAACACGATGAGAGTGTTGTCTAATAAAGCAAAAATGATATTTTGAGTTAGTTTGAGCTATTTTAGTTGAAGCCTAAGTTATTTTGAACGCTGAATTCAGCGCACGTGCATTCTGAATGCGGTCATTAACTTGAGGGCTTAGAAGTGTTAACCACCTGTAGCCACTGGTAAAACAACGTAGAACAAGCACATTTTTCTAGAGCCTCGTGCAGCTGATTGACATGACGCAATACCTGTACCACATCTCAGTATACGGAGAACGCTGACGGTATAGAGCGGCGAGAAGCCCAACAGGAATTACTCGCGGTGCGTATCAACTGGACAGCCTCACCAAACGCTCAACCAATTACACCCACAGCCCTTAGCTGAATGTAAAAAATAACATCAACATAATGACCGCCGCCATCGCTGTGTCCGCAGGCTGCTGTCAGCGGTGACAAGAGACTTCCTCGAAAAGCCAATGGCTAGAGCTAACGATACCTTCTCAATGATGTCGATGTCTTTACTAGTGAATGTTGCTTAGGGTATACCCGACAGCTTTGTTCCTCCATACAACAAAAATACAATTTTGGGCTGTGGTAATACCTCGTTAGTGGAGGCGAATTGGTATAAAATAAGAACACTAAAAAATTTAAGTTCAAATTCCTTACCGTTCCACGTGCACGGTAAAAAATCACAATTTGGCCAGACACTTTCTCTTTCAAGCAAAAGCTTATGAATAAAATCCATGATCAACGGTCAGTGCAGCTGGGTGGCAATTTGTTTCCAGAGAAGTTGTTTATCGTGCTGAATATCTGCTTTGATTTGCTGGCAATTCAAACTAGAAATGAAAGGCGTGATGTTTCTCGCACTTCTCTGCAAGTTCGTTCCGTACGACTTTTTTGGTACCATTTTTGGCTAGACACTTTGCTATCAACTGAGCTGACACTTTCTGTGGGGGTTATTAGCTATGAATTGGATTTGCGAGATACTTTTACAGTCAAGTACAAGTGTTAATCAACCCCGTCTTATCCAAAAGTAATGATTCATTTCCCTTTAATTCGAAGAATGGGCACACAACTACGCCACGCCAGGTGGCTATTTATTTTAGTCGATGCATCACATGGCCATGCATCATATCATATCATATCATAAAGCTGCCGACCGACAATCTCAGGCGAATGACACGGCATGTGACAACTATTGCCGCGTCGAGGCACTCTCGCGTCGAAAACCACCTTTCAAAGAAGACGACAATGCATAATGGCAAAGCAAGCTCATTGTTTCGACACAGTATATTCGACGAGGTGCATATAATGTTCTTCTAACATCAGCCATGCAATTTCGCCGTACATCAGCTTCTTGGCAGCTCGGTCAGCAGCACCGATTTATTACCAATTTGACATTGATGAAGGTCAACCGAAAGGTCACGACCCTTTGAGCTAGTTCTCTTGTCACCTTGACGCGACTGCGCGGCAGGTTGTTGTAGCTAATGCCGCCAGACTTACCAGCTGGAAAGCATGGGGAGGGTATGGCTTTACATCCTTTAGCATTCGGGCAGGAGGAAGTCTTGCGGGTTTCGTAGGTAGAAAAGGTGTCAACAGGTGTCGTCTACGGGAGAACGGTCTTAAGAGATTTTACCGCACAGTTGCCCATTACTACCTGGGTAGTGCAAGAAAGCGTAATAGATCATGGATTTTGTGGACCAATAGCCTCTCCTTCCAAAAATCCTAACACTCATCTAACGATGGCATATATCAGCGGATCGTCGCAGCGAGCCGTCCGGATCATGAACATGTGAGAAACGTACTTGTTTTTCATTCAAAATCGATCGATTTACGATACATCCGTGAAGTGATCCCAATAACCATGGAGTTAAGTATGTTACGTCGCACCTATTCAAATACTTGAAGTTAATGTACTGAAACTACCCAAGATGTCTGAAGAATAATGCACAAACCTCACGTAGCATAACGCAAAGCATGCTCCGTGTTGTGCTCATACACAGGCTGGCCGAAACAAAATCGCCACATTCAGATGTGCGGAGCCTTAACAGAATGAGCACATCGGTCAAGGATCTAACAAAAACCACTCTATTGTTAATTCAGTGGTCTACTCGCTACACTCATCGCTGTTCACTTCGGTGGCCCGGGTCTTTAGCCATGGGCCTGCACAGGCCTTTCTCCATTTACGTGCGCAAATAAATGAAACCTGCTGCAAGCGAAACAGAATTTTGCGTGTGTTAAATGTTCTCATTTTTACTAATTGACCAACCGGTTATCTGTAAATATATGCACCAATGCTTTGCTCTTCGGTCTCAAGGTATAGGCACTGGCGCCAGTAGTGGACTATATGGCGCTCAACTATAGTGTTTGGCGCTGTATGAGGAAAAATGTCCTCGGGGAAGTCCACCCTGATTTGGCGCCGATTTTGGCGCCGAACGAGGACCGAATCGTCAAAATATGTATTCCGTCCCAATGGATCAGTGTTGTGAATGACAACAACCGTCGTCAAAGTGGAGTACTTAACAGCACCACTTTAATACGTATCTCTTGTTTTTTGTCACATTCGTTTGGTTCATGATATAAAAATGGCATTTGTTGGCGCTCGCTTCGGACTTCGGAGTCGTAAGCGACCAGAATACCTTTGGGCTAGCATTAAAAACAAATCGCATTTTTCGGCTCGGGTAAAGGAGTTAGTTGGCACTAGCGTGCGTACATTATAGCATATTATTCTGTCTTTGTTCGTCTCTGGTCAGTATAGGCGCCATTACAGCGCGTTCTTCTCGACCTCGCACGGCGTCATTGAGGTGAGCAAAGGTGCAAAAGTCATGATTCGTGATTTACACTTGTACAGCCTCCTCAAAGAACCGATTGCCCTTCATTGTGTGTGGCAGTGGTGCTCACGAAAGTCATATATTAACATCCAAGCAACGTGTTGTCCGTTGTCTTGAACACCACGTGGCTGCCAGTGGGGTGGAAGGATATGAATAACGTTTCATGTCATCATCCATTCATGAATGACCTTGAATAGCTAGCACAGAATGATTTGCACATATTTTGGAAAGTGCACCTCAGACACAGGACTTTTAGTGTTAAATATCAGAGCTGTGAACCAACGATCTTAAAAATGGCTATTTAAGTTTGATTTGGATCTCAGATATCTCAAATAAATTGTTGGATGACGCCTTTGCGTTGTTTTTCGCAACGCCTCGTGACAGAGACGGTGTAAACTGCGCCGTGCGCAGTGAAATATTGGACGGCAAACGACATAGCGTCATCTTTTTTATTTTCAGCAATGGCCAAGTGAATGGTTGAGCTGCTGGGGCGCGTTGGTGCGGGTTCTTGACTGCCTTGACTTTGCCTGTTGCGAGCCGCCGACGGAGTAAACCCAATGACGTCACGCACTGACTCGTGCAGGTCATAAACAGACCCCATGGACTTAACCACGCACACAGAGCCTTGACAGCAATCGACATATCGCAGTTGAGGCACCGTGGCTCTTAACTCACTAATGTCTGACATATATTATTCTGCATAATGGGCATACCAAGTCGCTATTTACACCGACACCTAGTCAATTGCACGGACGTCATTTCCACATTTTGTCCTGCATCGCTGCAAAATTTGAGATGGCAAACAACCAAGCAAAAGGAAAGCATGGTAATGCAATAAACATGGCAGCCATAAACGCAAGACAGCATAACATAAACACCATTATTCTCTTGCACCTTCTTGCGCCAGTTTGTGACACCAAGTCATGTAATTAACAGGACGCATTTTCAGTTTGACATGCTTTAACGAGTATCTTTCTCCCTTCCAGTGTTTCCAGGTAACTCCATGCCTAGCCGTTTTGATGTCACCTTTGGCGTACTGTCCTGTCAGAGTTACATACATGCATGACTTGTGCCACCACGCACTTTTGTACACCACTGCACAGTCCTTACTCCAGCTATCGTTGTCCTGATCCTTCGTTGAGAACTTGCAGTTGTTACAATGTGCCAGGGAATCCCCAGTATTTCCTCCATACTTACCAATCTTCATTGCGTATTTCTGCTGTTCAGTGCCGATGGAGAAGGGAGTATAAGTGGAGAAGGTGGAGGCGTTGTCCCAAGCCTTCAGATCCACACGTAACTGCATCTGATCCATGCTGGTCAGCAGGCTCATGTACTCGTTGCCCAGCCAGAACTCGCTGCTGAGGTTGCCGAAGCCCCATTTGTAGCTCTGCCAGCGCATGTTGAAGTCCTGGTGGTCGGCCACGTCCGCGCGCCTCATGAGCACTGTCCAGCCGCCGCCGCCCGTTTCCATGTCGCAGAAGACGCGGATGCCGCCGCCGTTGCCGCACACGGGTGGGAAGATGGTGTAGACGCCGCTACGCTGGTGTCGCTGCTGGACGGCGGCGCAGTCGGCCGGACGCCACTCGTCGACCGTCTGGAACTGGTCCCGGAAGCTGCACCGCTCCACGATGACGGTGGTTGCGCCGCTGCCTGCCGCTGCGGCGACGGGACGCGCCTCCTCCAGCAGGGTGACCAGCCGCTGCTGCGTGTCGTTGAGCTGCGCCTGCAGTTGTTGCTCCGACTGGCGGATCTCCTGGCTGATGGTGTCCGCGAGGTCGGGCGGGCTGGCGTCGGCGGTAGCGGTGGGCGCCTTCGCTGCAAGCGCGGGTTGCCTGAGCTCGGCTAGGGTCTCTGTCAGCCGACTGCTGCCCACCTCCCTGTACAGCTGCAGCACGCTGTTGTCCAGCTGCGCCAGCTGCGTGTCCACCGTGCGCGTCAGCGTCTCTAGCCTCGCAGCCATCTGGATCAGACGCTCCTCCATCCTCTGCAGGATGCTGGGCGTGCCGTAGCCGTCCTCCGGCTCTGTCCCGATGCTGCTCTTCAACGGCATGTCGTGAGCTTCGGTGCCGTCTGCGCACAGAACACTGCTTACAGAGAGCACACGAGTAGCTGCATCTTGACCGTCGCTGCTGTTGCTTTTGTCTAACTCTGCCCTCTGCACCGCCGGCTCTCATTATACACCGACAGTTTGTTAACGTCCACAGCTCAGACAGTCTGGGATTCCGCAGACCGCTTTGTTTACAGTTCGTACCGTGTACGATTCTGACACTGCTGGGCTTCCCACCACTAGACAGACATACACACATAGCTTGGACCGTTCCAGGACGCCAAACTCTTCATCTTGACATGTGAGCCAGCATGCTTGGTTAGTCGCGGCTGGTGTCGTCTTCAGAGCGTAAACATCTAGTAAGGAGGCACTCCGGTGTCTGCTAATTCCAAACATAAACACGTGACGGAGGCCAAGAGAGCCGGTGGAATCTGGACTGCGTCACGAGCATGCCGAACCCGAGCACGAGCAGCTATGTTTACAACTGTAGACGTCACGTCGGGAAGTCAGCTGTGGTGAGCTTGTGTTGTTTATTTCCTTGGAAGGTGCCCCGCTTAGTCCACAGCAGTGGGGCAGTCTGCGACAGACGGCTGGTGGCCACCTCCGTCATGTCTTAGGTTTTTATAAAACCTGATGATTGGTGTTATCGAATAAACAAATCCTAACACAACATCTTACTCGTCAGATTAATGGCTTTAGAGGCATTGCCATGGGCAATGTCTGGTCCACTGATTACAAAGGTATTTTCCCGCTAATTTGTCATGCAATATGTGTTGTGATCTAAAAGACAAGCGCATCATTGGACCCACAAGACCCAAGAGGTTCCTTTTTCATTGTCTGTCTCCGTTTAGTACAGAAACCAATGACTGAAATTCCTAAACCAAGGTCAGGAGAGCGAGGTGGTAATTTTTTCGAGAAGAAACGTTTTCGTGTACTGGATGCCTGAAGTGTTTTATTGGGAATCCAAGGACGAGATAAGAAATGTGACTTTTGTTTCTTTTCTACGGCCTCCTTGGTACCATTTTTCACTGGAAACTCTGCTACAAACTGCGATGACACTTTTTGTAGGGGTTGTCTGCTATGAACTATACTTGCATTGCAAAAATTGCAACTACTTTTGCGATCAAGTACCAGTCTCAAATAGCCACGACTCGTCCTTTAGTTATCAGCCTTTTACCTCAACTTTGACGAATGGACACAGAAATACACCATGTCAGGCGAATTTTTTACTTCAATTAACGTAATACATGGCCATGCATTAAATCACACCATCGACAACCTCAGGTGAGTTACATGCCATGTGACAACTCTTGCCGTTTCGAGGCATTCTCGCATCGAAACACATCTTTCAATAGAAGATGAAAATCCATAACGGCAACGCGAGTTCATTATATTTACACGGTATATTTGATAAGGTGCATCTAATGTTCTTCTAAAATCAGCTACGCAATTTCGCCGTCCGTCAGTTGGCCGGAGCTTGTCCAGCACCCCGGTTGTCACCGATTTGGCACTGAGAAAGACCAACTAAAAAATCCCAACTGTTTGAATTAGTTTTCTTGTTACTTTAACCCAGGCACGCGACTACGCGGCAAGTTGCTGTGGAGGGCATGGCATCATATCCTTTAACTTTGGGCAGGGGTTAGTTTTGAACCTTGTAACGTAGGACACGGGTGACTTCTAGGAGGAAACGGTCTTAAGGGATCTTGGCGCACAGTTGCTGGTTTTTACCAGGGTAGTACCTTAAAACGTAGTAGATCGTGGATTTCGTCAACCGATAGCCTCTTTTTCCGAAAATCCTATCACGCCTCTAACGATGCCATAAATCAGCGGAACGTCGCAGCGAGGCGTCTCGATCATAAACATGGCAGAAGCATACTTGTTTTCCATTCAACATCGATAGAGTTGCGATACATCCGTAAAATAACTGCACTACCAATGGAGTTAAGTCCGTTGTCGTGCACCTACACAAATACTTTAAGTTAACATACTGAAACTACTCAGGATATCTGAAAGAAAATGCACAAACCTCATGTAGAATGGCGTAAATCATGCTCCGTGTTATATTAATCCACCGACTGGCCTAAACACAGTGGTCACATTCAGATGTGCGCAGCCTGAATAGAATGAGCACATCGGATAAGGATCTCACACAAACATAGCCATCCTGTTGTGAGTACAGTTGTCCGCTCGTTACACTCATCCCTGTTCGCGCCGGTGTCCAGCGTCTTGGCCAGATACCTGCACAAACCTTTTTCCATTGACGAGTTGAAATAATCGAAATCTACTGCGGGCACAACACAATTTTGGCTTGTGTTGAAATGTCCTTAATATTATCAATTGACTGACCAGTTATCCGTAATTATATGCGCCGATGCTTTGCTCTTTTGGGCTCTCAATTGTTCGGAATAATCCGGGAGCACGTGTAGAGCAGCAATACCAGCTGGTGCTGGCAGAAGAGCTGTCTCCCTTAGAACGCCACTGATCTATTCACTGAGTAGGTAAACAGCACCCATAGTGCACGCGCGACCATAATGCTGTCAGAAGAACCGTTCCACATTTAAAGATGCTGAGGCAAATATCAGATACTGTAAAGGCCAGAGCTACATGACCGACTTGTACTGAGCCTCAGCACACACTGCAGCCGGGACCGGTTACAAACCGCCGGCACAGCATCATCAACCCACGCAGGGGTGTCCGAATCCGAAACATGCCACAGCACGGCCGACAGTGCACGTGCACTACACTGCCTCCCACGAGCACGAAAAAAAAGAGGGAAAAAGCACTTCCGATGACCTCAGTTTCCAGAGAACCTTGCTTGCTTCCTTCGTCTCCCAGATCCACCAACACCCGAGACACTCGCACTCTCACCAAACAAGACGCAACCGGTGTGGCCATAGAACCCTTCACGGATTGGATGAATCCAGGGATCATGAGTAAATCCACGAGCCTGATTGGACCGGATCAGAAATTTGCACAAAAACATGGTTTAGGACAGGACTGGAGTTTCAAATTTGCCTGCTCACACCGAGAAGCGGATTGAAAATCAATGAAACGGAAATTTTCACTCAGTAGGTGCTCAATTGCTCAATGAAAACATCAGCTTAAAAAATAACATTCGAACCCGAAAATTAGGTGTTTTCAATTCCAAGCAGTGTAAAAATCGACCTTCGACAAGCCATTTTTCTGATAAAGCTAATTGATATGAATGAGTGACGCAAGGATGTGCTGCTATCGAAAACAAGTGTTTCCATTCCTTCCAAGTTCACTATTTCATATAATGATGAAATAGCCCAACTTATCATAATATACACGCCTTTGGGCCAGCTTTCTCCAGTCTGGCCAGTACCTCATCCAGTGTACGGAGATGTTCTTTGGTCTGGTGCTGGCGCGTATGCCGAATAACCCGAGCAGGGCGAATATCTCAACACGTAGAAAAGTGCTATCGAAAGGCTGAAGTCCTCCAAGTCCCCCCAAACATCACATATCCACCTCCAAGTCCCCTCAAGCATCACATATCCACCTCCAAGTCCCCCTAAGCATCACATATCCACCTCCCGCGCATTCGGAGCGTTAAAGTGTGATAATATAACATGTGACAAGATCCTCGTGATATAATGGCTGGAATCACGCTGCTGTTGGCTTTAAAGGTGGCACCGAGTCCTGAGGTGAAGGGTGGTGTGTAGTACCCGCTGAAAGCTCAGTGAGAAAACAATATCTACACAACTCCTACTCCCAAAAAAGGCGAAAAATATCTACAGAACATTCCTGTGACGGGAGCCACTGATGTTACGCAGGCCGATGGCGGTTTTGGTCACTTTTTTATTTCTTAGTTTTCAACATACTTTGTTCGTGATACGCCGTCTACTCAAACAGAAATCGTTTGCCTTAACCTGGAAGGTCACTGCATGAATGTATTTGATCTTAAGATATTCGGTTTTGACCGACAACGTTGTCCTACGCTGGGACACGATGAAAACAGTAAAAGGCACACATTCTGCATTATTTCATCTGAACTGGTGAAAGGCTGCATGTCTTAGATTTATACTGCCTCTTCAAAAGCGTCCATATCCCACCACACCTGCAGATTCGGTCACTTGGAAGCATAACGCTACACGCGAGCTATGACATAAATGAGCCCTGACGTTTTGACATTCGTTGAACCCACGTCCTGCTGGCGTTCGCAGCCGAATACGCCTCGCCGAAGCAGGGTCTTGCATCGGCTTAACTCGAAAAGTCATGGGTTGATTTCGCTGCTGTTTGTGGCAATTAACATGTTGCCAAATGTGGTATGCCGCCAAATGCCTTCACGCATCGATCGGGCGTCATCTGCACGCATCGTTCCGACAGCACAAGCAGCACAAAGTTGACAAAACCAGCTCTAGGCACACAATGTTAGAATTATTCAGCACTAAAGACAATTCCGACGACATTTATCAATTCTATACACGCAGAAGACAATAGCTCAACAACAGAAGACAACAGCTCGACATTCCCTATTTGCGGTCCCAATCAGCCCCAGGCAACAGGCATGCCTCTGATCGCCGACAACAGCTTTAGATGCGTCGCTGGTAGTCATCCATGAGCTCCAGGATGGCGTTGAATGAGCTCACCAGCTGCTCGATGTGCTCCGGTGCCATGTGTCCCCGGCCCGCTTCGGGTTGGTGCTCCGCTGTCCGCTGCAGATCCCCCGGTTCCGGCACGTTCTGCAGTGCCGCCTACTGGTGACCGAGATGACCGTTGGTTTCTGAATATCCGAGTGGAGAAAAACTCACCGCCTTTCTCCAGATGACGATTGCGATTGCTATCCGTGTCAACTACCGCGCGTCTGGAAACCATAGGTATGGGGTTCGGTTCCACGCGGTGTCCGCCTTTCCGCTAGGTTGCGGGAAGGCGACACCTCAGCAGCCTATGCAGCTGAGTGCGTCTAAAATCCCCAATGACGACAATGACATCAGCGTTAAGGTCTTTTCTCACCCTACCTTTCTGTGCATCTGTTCTATCGTTTACCAGGGGTAGTCTCTCATGGATTGCATCGCGTCCGTTGCTTATACGAGTGTAGTGGGGGGGGGGGGGGGGGGGGGGGTTACCCACTTCATTTCAAAGAAGTCCTTTCCAAGTCGGCAGCACAAGAGGGGGGACGAGACCTTGCCTCTTTTGGGACCCGAAAGAGCCCATAGGCGTCGAAGGGGTCCCATAGCCGGCCGAACAGATGCGGGTTTTTTGTAGAAAACACAACAAAATTGGACGTCTTTGGGCTTCCAGGCAACACATTAGTTTGTTTCACTCATTGGGAGGGTGGTGACTGGAAGTTGTTCATGTCTATCACGCTGTCCAGAGATCCTCCTTTGTTCTCAGGGACCCATATGCCCACTTGCAGGGACAATACCATCGTTAATGGTGCATTCTACGCAGCCACTGATTTCTTTGCATTTGCTCGGAGGACCTTAGGTTGTTTCTGGGGCCCTTTTCACTGGTGTACCGGAGGCACTCTTGTCAATCAGGGCCTTCCACTGAATCTTTCCATTCGCCGGAAAGGCTCTATAGGCTACAGCCGGGGACCTTATATGCTAAACTGCTGGGACATTCTCGGTTGTTTAG